AGCCAGGGCAGTGCCTCAATTTAATGTGCACTATTTCTGGCAGTCAGTATATCCAATATCATAGCTATAGGCTGCAATCTTAGAGGCTTATCGCATATCTAAAATAAAGTGTTTTACCTGAATTAAATTTAATTTTAAATTGGGCTGCATCTGGACCCTATCACAAAGATTGTGCTGACAAAAATCACTTCCCAAATGAAGTCTTGGTCCATCCCTGCTCCCAGGCACCTCTTTTCAAAACCAGGAGTTTTCTGGCTTGAAAAATGGCTGCCGGAGTGCTCCTGGAAATGGGGATTGACCTGGGCTGCATTTGGGTGATGATTTTGGTGGCAAAATCTTTCTGATAGAGTCTAGATGCAGCCCAATTTAAAATTAAATTAAATTCAGGTAAAACGCTTTATGAGCCATGCAATAAAGTCATTATACCATGTAGGGATGTAAATTCTTTACTGTTTCATTCTTACATGCAAGAACAAATAATTATGGCAGTATTCTCTTTGCTGCAGGAGAAACTGAATATTCTTGGGCAGCATTCTCCCAATATTCAAATGTTTCAAAGTGTTCTGGAGGAATTCTTCTGCATAGAATTCTTCTGCACAATATTTTCTGTGCAGAAAACAGGTCTTTCTTTTTGCAAAGGAAACCTGTTTTTTGTTCAAGAAAAAAACCTAGTGTCTTTTATTTTACAGAATAATTCACCCATAACACTTTGTAACACATAAATATGAAGAGAAAATTGTGTAAGATTCTCATTGTTGTTGCTGTGTGCCTTTAAGTCATTTTCTGACTTATGGATAGGTACCCTAAGACTAACTTATCACACGTGGGCTAGAAAGCGATAATAAAGTGGAAATGAAGCATTCCGAAAATAAATGGAAAATAAACCTTGATTCCGCAAATGGCTTTCACACGTAATTACCTTAATTGCAAAATTAAAGTAAGCGCATTTAACGTTCACACACAAGTGAGAAAAGCCTGTAAATGAACTAGAAATGAGCTTCTTGCACATGCGCAGACAGAGGAATGCTTGCTGGAACCATGGGAACAGCAGGGAAATGCTCCCGAATGCACATTTGCTTTTCACATTATGGTAAATGCGAAATTACCTTAATTTTGCATATGCATTTCCTCCAAACAACCGAATTTCAAAAGATCTTGGTTAACACAAGTTTTTGTCCACTTTCTGTCCAGTTTCTGTGCAATCTCGTGTGAAAATGTGAGGCACAAATCCAGTTTCTGTTTGGGATTTGTGTGGATTAACCAGCAGATTTGCCCCCGTGTGATAACGTCCATGAGGTTTTCTTGGCAAGATTTGTTTAGAGGGGGTTTGCTTTTGCATTCCCCTGAAGCTGAGAGGATGTGACTAACCTAAGGTCACCCAGTGAGTTTCAATGACTGAACAGGGATTTGAACCCTACTCTCCGGAGTCAGTCTAATGCTCAAACCACAC